GCCGCTCCCGCCAGCTCTGGCAACCACGGGCTCCAGGACACCACCACCGGGACTGCCGTCGCCCTCCCATCCCACCAGCCCTGCTGCCTCTGGACCCACTGCACCAGCAAGCACAGGTGGCAGCGTGTCATGCTGCAGCAATGAGACAATAACCAATGGATCAACATGTTCTGGATGACTTGGGCCACCTTTGAAGACCTGCTGCGCCAGCTCTGGCCCCACCTGGAGCACCAAGATACAGAGAAGCACCTGGCTGTCCCTGCCAACACCCGCCTGCCCTGCCACCCGCACCCCCCCCTATTGACCCCCCAGCACCACTTCAGGACACATGCGTTTGTAATGAAAACCTTTATTCCCCTCACAACCCCCACCCCCATCCCCCTACCCTCTCCCCTCAACCAACAGGCTAGTCATAGCCACCCAGTGTGCCTGGAAGACCTTAGCCTTCACATGACATTGTTGCACCATCCAGGAGTGGCCTTGTGCATGCATCCCAGCTGAAATGGTCTCATAAATGTGGGCATTCAAGCATGCGCCCCACACAAACTGCCTCTGAACGTTGGCCCTGCCCCAGAGCACCACAAGGTCACACACCTCTTCCTGGGTCCAGTTGGGGCCCTGGGCGCTTGGAATGGGCATAGGCACACAGGTGGGGCCGGGGCTCAATGGGGACGATGTACTGGATGTGCTCCCCACACTGGCTCTGTGGGTCCCTGCATGGCTGTCCCTGCGATGCCAGCCCTGGAGGGTGTTGGCTTAGAAACTGGTATTTAAAGGTTTGTTTTGGGGAATTCGCTTATATATATCTATATATCTGGGCCACTTAGCCACATCCCCTGCAGGCCCAAGGCTTATGCTCCCCCAGTCATTACTGCCAGATACCCAGTCTTCTGACATGCCACAGTCTTTCTTCTGAAACTGGCCAAGTTTGCAGATGACACCAAGTTATGGGGAAGTGTGGTCACACTGGAAGATAAGCTACAGTTACATGCAAACCTAGACAGGCTGGCAAATTGGGCAGATCAGAACCTGATGAAGTTCAACGCTGAGAAATGTAAAGTGCTCCACCTCGGGACGAGCAACCCCCAACATGTCTGCAGGCTTGGCGGCACCAAACTGACCAGTACCACGAATGAAAGGGACCTGGGGTAATAATAGACCACAATATGAATGAGCCAGCAGTGCGATGCTGTAGCTAGTAGGGCAAATAATACTCTGGCATGCATCAATTGATGCATCTCCAGCAAAGCCAAGCAGGTGATTCTTCCACTCTACTCAGCACTGGTGAGACCACAGCTGGAGTACTGCACTTTAACAAGGACGTGGACAAGCTTGAGAGAGTCCAAAGAAGTGCCACCTGCATGATCAGAGTCTTAAAGGGCAAATCATACAAGGAAAGGCTGTGGGATCTGGGACTCTTCAGCCTGGGGAAAAGGAAAGCTGAGAGGGGACCTAGTAGCAGCTTACCACTACGCTAGGGGAGTACATCAAGGACTCAGTGAGCAACTGTTCACCAGGGCACCCGAGGGGAAAACCAGGAGTAATGGCCACAAACTCCTGGAAGATGGAGTCAGGCTCAACATTAGGAAAAACTTCTTCAGTCAGGGTGTGCAGACTGTGGAATAAACTCCCTCCATAGGTGGTGCAATCGCCTACCCTGGAAATCTTCAAGAGGAGACTAGACAGTCACCTTGCTGAGGTCACCTGACCCCAGTTATCTTTCCTGCTTGGTGCAGGGGGCTGGACCCGATGATCTTCTGAGGTTCCTTCCGGCCTTGCTATCTATGAAACATTTTTGGGCTCCAGACCCTCTGAACTGTTTGCCCCTGCCACACCCCAGTGGCCTCCAGTCCTCCGGTTTAAACATAAAAGCATGAGCATCTGCTCCCAAAATATGAAGTTCATCAAAGCACAAGGCATCCCTGTTGGGGTTAACCTCACCCCACAGTAACACCAGTATACAGGTTAGAATTACTTAACTCTCATTGCTCCAGGTGGAGGGTTCCTTCCGCCCTTTTGAGGTGCAGTCCTTCCACTGTAGGCAGCCTGGGCAGGCGTTTCCCTGGAGCTCTGCCTTCTGTGGCTCCTGCGGCTGGACTGCCCCTCCCGGGCCTGGGTTTTTGAGTAGGAACCTACTTAAATTGCAGCAGGACAAAGGGTTTTTCGCAGCCTGCTTTCACAGGCTTTTCATGGCAGCCCCACCCCTCGGTGCTGGTTGGCAGAGAGGCCCCGGGGGAGGAGGAATGACAGGGTGGCCCTCATCTTGAGTGCTGGATGCCCTTTGTGCCACCCTGCCCCTTAGCACTGATTGGCAGAGAGGGAAAGGGGGCAGCCACCATCTTGTCTGCTGCCCCACCAGCTGCCACCTTCCTCTCCGGGCAGTGAGGACTGCTGGTTCCCACGGGGGAGCCAGCTTTTTGTTGATGTTGTTGATTTTGTAGATAATCCCTGATTTTGCGTTTCCATAAAATTCACAAAACTGTGAATTGAGTTGGTCCCTACTTCTGAGCCTCTCCTTGAGTCACCTGACCCTTTATCTCTGCCCCAAGCCTGCCAATCATTACGCACACCTGGGGCAGGTTGCCATTTTATTTAAGCCTCTGCCATTATGAGTCCGTTCAGAGGGGCTGGGCTGGCTGGGGGACCCTGGGCTTCTTCCCCCTCTCAGTAATGGGGCAGGGGACCCATTACAGATGCCCAGAGCAACAGGATTTCAATGCCAACTAAACTCTTTTGTGTCCATCATAACAGGAATATATACGTAACCAGTCACAGGGTGGCCATTATAGAGGACAGTCCAGTTGTTCTCTGTCCTCTATTGATATGAAACTGGACACCTTAATGTTCTCAATTTTTTTCTTGAAGAGAAAAATAGAGGACATAAAGCTGCTGGGTTTCGTGTCAACAGAGGACAGAGTAGCAGAAAACCAGAATGTCCTCTATGATGGCCACTCTAGCCACGGTACACATACAACTGATTTCTTACAAATAAGCTCTCACACAGTCTGATCTGTAGCCTCAGGCAGCCAAATCTTCCGTACCTACTTATAAAATTGGGGATTCATTGACAAAATGGTATCTGGGGGGTGAATTCTGTGCGTCACAAGGTCATAGTTCAGGTCCTAATGCTGTCCCGGGTACATCTGCTGGGCTCGTGCACTGTTGGCAGCTACGTACCAGATCTATGTATTTTGCATTTGTAACGTTCCACTTTCTGCTGAGTTTGTTTCGGGGCTTGCTGCTATTTCCAGTGCCTGAGTAAGGGGGTACATGTACAACCAGGAACCAGGACACCTGACTCTGTGGCTGGACTGCTAGCTTGGAAAATCCAGGTTCAATTCCCTGCTCTGCCATAAGCTTCCTGGGAAAGTCTGTTATGGGCAGATTTGCAAGGGGGACTTAAGTACCTAGGTCTGATCTTTAAGGGAATATCCATTGGCAGGCCTCTGGCCTAACTTTCTATGGGCCTGTCCTCCCTCAGTATCGATGTTTCCATGGATCACAGTACAAAGGTCCCTAAGTTTCTGCTGCTTCCCCAGGCTTTGAAGTCCTAGCAGTGTTGAGCCCCAGCTCAAGTCTGGGATCGTGCCCAGTATGCAAAAGCCAATAAAGATACCAGGGGTGAAAGTATAAAGATTTATTGCTAGCAATACAAGGTGCAAGCGGAATAATTTCACGTAACAAGCACACAGATTCTTAATTCTAAGCATCTTTTATACAGGAGTATTGGACCTTCATAAGCATTCTTGTTTGCTAATTGGTTATAAGGGAGTGACGCAAGGAGTTCTTTACTGAGCATGTCTCTATACCTGTGTTTTAGCTATGTATCTCATTTCCATACATGTATGTTTCATTAGCATACTTTCTCCCCACCTAGGGGTGTGAATCTTAATATTTAAATCAGCTCTTTGCCCTAGTCCTCTGATTCTGCTTTTGTTTTCAAGCCTCCTTTATCTAAGACTGTCTCCTCCTTATCATTGCAGATGGGCATTAGTTACATAACAGAGACTTTTGCTTGGGCTATGTGTAGTGGTTTCTAGGTCAAACCTGACAGCAGCACTGAGCTGCTTCACCACACCTGACCTCCCCATGCCTTGAATGACAGTGGGCATGCCTTACTCTCCCCTCCTGGTGCCCTAATTAAGAGGCTGAAAGCCAGTGGATCTAAACCCCATTGGACTGGAGGCACTCCTTCCCCTGTTCAACATGTGGCATCCCTCTGTACCTTTTGTGAACTGGGTGGGTACCCCATTTCAAAACCTAACATATATACAGTGCTTGCAGAGGAGCTGGGCGGTGGCCGTGGGAGATCAGCCAGGTAAAGCCTGAGCTCCGGCTTCTCTCAGTCCTCAAATTTCTCGGGTTCAAGTTCCCCCTCACAAAGTGCCAGCTCTTGGTTTTCACCCTGGTTTTTTGACTCCATAAAAAAGGTAACAGAGCAACACGTGCGCTGCAGAGAGCTCAGGAAGCCCGTGCCGGGGCGCAGCGCTCGTTTGAGACCTCCAGGCTTATCGCGTTTGCCCACCACATGGAGCTAACGCCGCGTGGTGCCCTTGCAAGCATCTCGAGGCATCCCCAGTTGAGGATCGCCACCATAGGCCCCCCTGCCCTGGGGCGGGGGGGTGCTCTGGACGCCGCCTGCTGCAGCTGTTCCTTTCTGCGCCCACTGCATGGCAGAAGAGCTGCTGCGCTTTGCCCAGGGCCCTGTCCACGCAGGGAGCAGGAGGGCCTGGGCACCGCAGGGACTAGCCCCGGAGTCTCCCACGTGCCACCCACGGGGGCTGGGGCAGTGACGGGCGCGGAGCGGGGGCCGCCCTTCGCAACATCAACCCCCGCGGCTGAGCCCCACTCCAAAATGGCCGCCACAACCTCAACCTCAGCTGCGGACTGGAATCGTAACTTCCTGGCAGCAAGCGTGCCTGCCGCTTGTTATTCCGCCCGCCCCCCACCGACTCCCTGCCCTCGTCCAAGATGGCTGCGGCCGCTCCGTCAGTCGAGGAGACGCTCTATCCGCCGGCGCCGCGCCTCTGTGGTGATCCGGAGACCGGAAGCGGCGGTCGGCGGCGCTGCGGCTTGGGGCCGAGGCCGGAGGTGAGACACGAGACCTCCCCCCCTCCCCCCAGGGCGGCGGGGCAGGCAGGCAGGGGGGGGGGCCCGGGGGGGTTACGGGGGG